ACACTGACACCGATATCTTCAGTGCCACGGTGGGCACCGACCACTTATATTCGGTGTTCGGTGAGCACTGACACTGATATTTCAGTGGCACGGTGAGCACCGAACACCGAATATAAGTGTCGGTGAAAATCGTTGTCAGTGAAATTCAGTGCTCAGTAAACCGACACTGCACATCCCTAAATGCAACAATAAAATATAAAATTGTCATTTTTGACAGCATGTTGTCGGACAACAAACTAACTCTCATTTTCATATGTTGCCTGAAGAAAGAATCAGAAAAAATAGAATTCATCCTGATGTCAACTTATTTATACGCCGAAGACTATCGACTGAATGTCTATTTCTCCTTTTTATTTATTAAACAGAGAAAATTTCTTATGTATTCTTTTGTTTTATAATAATTTTCAAACATAATTCTTTTTAGAACTTGATTCGATAACTACAGTTATTGGCAAAGTTTAACTTACATGTTGTCAGATCCCAGGTTTCGGATGTACTACTCTATTTATTACAGAAGCGAAACAAATCAAATAGACTCAGCTTTTCTTCATATAATGAGATGCATATATTGAAGAGAATTTATTTTATATTAATAAAATTATAATAAAATGAGTTAGCTGGACAATTATTAGGAAATTCATACATAGTTTATATAAACTATTGTGGGTATGAACTTGTTCTCAAGAATAATCATTTATTGAGATACTACTAGTGGCAGTAATTCTCTCAAATACTCTGGAATAATATACTTTCCACAATAGAGCATATTTGAATTCGCAAAGTAATTTTCCTTGATCATACATATATAGATTTCATTTTCATATTCTATTCCAATATATTCTTGTTGTATATCACCTTGAAAATCATAATCAATTGTAAAAAACTTATCGTATTTGGTGACGTATAATGTCGCACCACCAACTCCCCTACGAATATAATTGTGCCAATGGTCTGGAAACGCAATTGGACGAATTGATTTCATCATATCAAATAAAGTCAACGTTTTAATAACTTTAAACTCTATCACTGTTATCTTCTCTCTCTTTCCAAGTACTTTGAGAAGTTCACCAAAACAAAGCCTGACACATTTTATATCATTAATCGAATCAATACCATTGAAGTATTTATTTACGCCTTCATAATATATCCATGTTTTCTCGTTTAATCCAATGTTGAGTTCATGTTCAATCTCGATTGTATAAACTTGATCAACTTCCGGGGAAGATTCTAAATAATAATCTTCGTTTTTAACGTTGTCTGCATGCCAAAATCCACGTGTAAGAGTAATGTTGTATTCGTCTTCAGTCATGAAATTATAATTTGTCTTATTTTTTCATTCTAAAATTTGACAAAAAATGTATATTTGGAAAGTATATAAATAAATAAAAAATGCTCTCTTAGTTTAATAATGTATGTTCACGAGAATCCATTGTTATTTGATGCGTTTCAGAAGAAAATAGTGAAGAAACGATTTGTGACTGCGTTGATAAGAAATTGATAAAGTTGTTATCCTTAAGTAATAAGATTTAGTACTAAATGCAAGATCGTTATTGATCAGAGATACTGTAAAAGGAACAGGAAAATAAGTGACTATATTCTAGAATGGAAAAGATTAGGAAGCGAGTATCGATGGCAGAACTGCAACTATTATATTCTTCACGAATAACTGAACATCTAATGAAGGTTTCATTCAATTCAAAAGGAGTTCATATGCATTATATATTTTATTTTTCAATTAAATAATATCTAGACGATAGAAATGCAAACTAGATATCTTCAGAAGAGAAAGAATTCATATGAACATTATCTGATATCTATTATAAAACAGGTATGTTGTCTCATAGGCTACTTTATTCTTACAAATTTTAATTATCAGGCAGCTCGTATTTTTCTCATTTTAACGCGAATCAATTGCTAAATGACAGTTTTCAACACATATATGTTTGATCGACTATTGTGTTACATATTTATCAAATAATAGAAATAATTCGAAAGTATTTTGAAGTTCAACAAAAAAAGATTATTTGTTCTTTTAAATACGCATAGTTGATTGAATTTAACTAGAATGATTTACTCTAATGCATGATATTATCTTATAGAAGAAACTGTAGTGCATATTTATCTATAAAAACTATTCAACGTAGTGATTTAGTACTCTATTAAATAATGAAAACAATATTCTCAGTCGATTAAATCGGTATGCACTATGATCCACCTATTATTGTTCAGATAACGAGCATTTTCTAAATATTTTTAATAGAATCTTTTTTACTTCTGTAGACTCTTCTAAAAGTCTCTGTTATATTCTAATTATAAAAATACAGTTCTTTATTTTTTGTTAGACAAAAAAAACGGGGGAGACATCGTGAAGAATATATTCGAACCAGGTATCCAAAGTGTGTCGATATATTTTATGTTGATGTTCCTGAACAATATTAAAAAGTACAAGTTGTTCGAAAAATTGAAACAGGTAAAATAAGAAATTATTTTGCTGTGCGATCAAAAAGTAATGATGATATTATTTTGTACTTACCAAGAAAATTTTGATTCAATATAAAAGTGTACGTTTTTCTTTGATTCGTATTCGACTAATACACCTATAAATCATTGAAAAAAAAGTTAATTAGTTTCATCCGAATAAACACGTTTAATGACGTATTGACAAGAAATATTTCTTCTTTTTCAAAGTGAGTAGAAATTACGAAAGGCATGTGTCATATCATCGCTGCATTCTTTTTGTTTACAATCGTGTTTCTTTCTATTTCGTATATATTTATTATCGTTTGTTTTCACTGTCATCTGCTCATTATTAATTAAATACGTTTAATCTGAGATGTCAAAGATATAATTGAGCTTAGTCCTGAGACGAAACTAAAATCGACAAATAGATAACATTGAAAAAATGTTCCCGAGTTAATCAGTTGTTACTTGAATAAATTAAATTTTCATGATTGAATAATATATACCGACATCAGCTAATTATCAATAAAAATTGCACTGATAGTCAATCTCACACGAGCATCTTTCATCAAATGATCTTTGTTATAGCTAACAAAAGAAGATTTTTAAATGTGTTTCATGTATTTCAATGAAAGCTATGTGATTTTGTCAAGTCAAGTGTACCTATCTCAAATATGAAACAATTAGATACTATCACTACGGCAATAAAACATTATACGCGAAATAGATCGATAATTTTCGAAAAAATAAAATTATTTTTCATTCAAAATAACAAAAATATTTTAGTGTTCATGTGATTATAAGTTACTCTGACTCAAAATCATTACAACAAGCTGTCAAGAAGGAGGTTTGTGCAATATCATAAGATGAGTTTTGAAAGATCTTTCAAAAATGAATTAATCGAATGAAATTGTACATAAAAAATCAAAGTGAGTACTTCGAACATCTGATGTGATTAGTTTTATTATAAACATGAATTATTCAATAAAAACAAGAATATTTCGAGAACTTTTTGATCACCCAACCGTTGTTGTAGTTGTTGCTGTACTACGTAGTAGTACTAACACTAGTACTAGTAGTACTAGTAGTGGTTGTGCTAGTGGTACTCGTGGTAGTTGTGGTAGTAGTAGTGGTCGTGGTAGTCGTAGTAGTGGTCGTAGTTGTTGTAGTGGTAGTTGTGGAGGTAGTGGTAGTGGTAACAGTAGTCGTGGTTGTCGTCGTTGTCGTTGTTGTTGTAGTTGTTGTTGCTATCAAAGATATATTTTAAAATGATATTTATTTATTTTAAGTTT